GACTTCACAGTGTGTACAGAATATCAGTATGACAATACGACACCCTCTGTCCTTAGACCCTCACATCGTACAAGGAAACACTTCCAGAGAAAACCCACAGTTTAAAGGGGAACATGGGAGAAACCTCAGGGAGAGCAACAGAGGAAGGATCCCTCTCCCAGGACGGACAGACGTGCAATAGATGCCGTGTGTAAATCGAAGAGATAATACATTTTACAGTATCTGTTTTTGTGTTATTTTAGTTACAGTGGAGGGACGGTGGTCTTTTTAGAAAATAGGATCTACAGCTAGGATCACCATTAGGTTTAAGGTACAGTTTTGTATGTTTAATTTGCACAATTTGAAAAAAAATCTCATTAGAAAAAAACATAGGATTAATATAAAGTGGATAATTTGACTTGTAATTAACCATAATAACTTTGTCTTGATTTACATTATTTAATTTCATATTCTGTTCTTATACATATCCCATATTCTATTGACATGTATATATACTTTTTGCACTACTTTTTATTTTGTATCGTATTATATGTTGCATTGTTGGAAGAGCTCGGGTCAGAATCATTTCATTGCCATTTCTGCACTGTAGCTTTGTACGTATGAAAATAAAACCTTTGAATCTTGAATCTTTGAATCTCGTATTTAGTAAAATTAAAGACAACGTATGTTCCTTAAATGTGTGAAAACCCTGAACCAACATATAAAACATTAATGATAACTATTAAAGTCATGTATTACTCACCTCAGGCTGCTCACCACCAGGTCGAAGGTGTTTTCTTTAAAGGGCAGAAACTCCTCGTCAGCGAGAACGTGATGAGTCGGGATCTCAGTCTGTCGTCTCTGTTTCTGAAGAGACATAAAACACATTTAGATCAGCATCATGTATCAGTACAAACAACATCTGCCCTCATCAGTAATTACTGTCTTAAGTCCATAACTGATGCTAAGTGATCATATTCACCAGGGTTCACTCATATTTTAACTTAAGGAGGACATATTGTGCTCATATTTAGGTTATATTTGCATTTTGTGCGTCTACTACCCATTTTTATCCATGCTTAATTCTCCCAAATGAACCCTTTTAACTACGGTTTTTATTATTTCTAATTTCTCAGTGACTTCAAGAACGACCAGATTATCAGATGATTTCTTTCAACCCTCACCAGAGCTTTCTCTGAGATGTCCGTCAGGAACAAACGCTCCACAAACTCCTGAAACGACAACAAGCAACAAAAGACAAGAAGTCAGTTGAGGCTGAAAGTATTTAACTCAAATAAAGACAATATTTTTGACACTGAGAGCATTTTGAATAACACGTTATGACCAACATGAACACACCGTACCTTGTTTAGATGTTCTGCAATGTGACTTTTTCCACCGCCGATGTCCAGAGCCAGAGGAAACGTCCTGAGAGGAGACAGAGGGGACAACGTTTGAGAAGGGAGAGAGGAAAGAAAATCTGTGTCGTGATGATCTGTTCTTTTTTTCCAAGTCCAGGAGAGAGTTAAAAAGGAGGCGAATGGAATCTCGGAAAGTTCAAAAGAGTAATTTTAATAAAATATCGTTGTATTGGAACAAACTGTAGTAAACACAGCTGTGTACATAGAGGTGAAGAGGAAAATCTGCGTGCACCGTGTGTATATCTGATTCCTTTCTCCCCTTCTCATTGGCTGCTTCGACGATGGGCGGGTCTTCCTCCCGGCTTTGTCCCTCTGGATTCATTTCGCATCAAATCAGAGGATTTAGACGTTGTGTGTTTGTTGTATAACTCCACACGCCTTTTTTATTCCTCATATTCTCATTCATGACTTTTTATTTGGTCCATTCTAACGGCTGAAAACAAAGATAACGTGAACCCGGAAGTGACGTAATGTAAACAACCGGGTTTTCCTTCAAAATAAAGCTTTTCAAAATAAAACGGTGTATTTATTTAATATTCACGTAATATATTGATTTTAATTTCTTACAGTAGGAAGTGTGTGTTTGATAAGAAATAATCTGTCTCAGAATAAACCCACCTCGCAATGTCGTACACTCGATCAGCCACTCGACCGCCAACCTGCAGGGAGAAAGGGCAAAAGAGTCACTGATTCAATTTGTATTTAATGACAGCTTCTTATCGTATTTGAATGTGCTTTTATTATGAGTTTCTTTGCATTTTAACTCTTTTGATGGTTAATGTAAAGTGCTTTATATTGCCTTGTCGCTGAAATGAAATACTATGTAATCATATTTATAATATATAAATAAACTTGAAACAGTCAGTCATTCAAATGTTTCTTGCAGATTTGTATTCTTCTCAAGATTTCCCAACATTAGCAAGGACTCATTTAGTCCATAAAAACCTCAATTAAATATATATATAAAATCACTGTATATGCCATACAGTAGACTTTTGTTGTGTTTGATAAGAAATATGTTAATGTTTGTACACATTGGGATTTAAGTTGGGTGTGAAGATTTTTTTAATTCCCATAATAATGACAAATATATTTTACAAATGAATGCATGTTTGACATATTCACTTACTTTGTTTACAAGGGATCAAAGGATCACGGGTAGGAAATAGGAAAAATCTATTCATGAGTATTCATTCATTTCTATCTAGTTAGTATCTTGCAACCAAGGCTGTCAGATTCAGTCACTATACTGTATGTCCCTCTAAGAAGCATCCTGGTGGAGAAGACACCAAGACAGTGACTTTTACCAACTTTGTACCAACTTAAAGCACGTAAATGCAGTATAAATGTAATATATGATATACTTTATTGATCCCAATTTGAGAATTGTTGTCGTCACAGCAGCATGTAAACAAGGACAATGAAATATAGTAGGAAATAAAGAAACGTAAACATAGGATATAATCATCTCAAAATAGTAAATACAACAGAACTAAAAAGTAAAATATATGCATATCTTTAAAACTGTTACAGATGTGTATTTTGTAAATTGTATGCATGCTTTTTAGGTAACATTAAGATGTCTTTGGCTCTTTTCTGATTATAAAAAGGTTTTGTAACACGGCCCATCTTATATCTGTCACATATACCCTATAAAGGGCCAATTACAGCTAACAATATGCACTTTTTAATATTTCTGTGCCTACCTCATCCCTCAGGTAGTCGTACTGGTTTCCTTCCTGCAGAGAAGCTGCCCAGTTCTTCTGCCTCCTCTTCATCTCCCTGTTGAACACATTCATGGAGCCTCTGCCCACAGAAGACATCCCTCTGCAGCCGGAGATCAGGCTCCATCTGCGGCAGGAGGCAGTGGAAGGAGAGCCAGCTGACTGGAGGAGTCTGAGGCACACTCCGGTGCTCATCGTGCCGGTTAAAAGCGAGAATTAAAGCAGAAATCTTCTGAACATCAGAGCATTGTACAACAACTGAATTCCTGCTGTCCTCCACACACCGTGACCTCAGGAGGGGAGGAGGGAAACTGTGGAGCTGGATTAAAAGGGGCTCAATTGAAAATATGGAACTGGATTCACTTACTGGAAATGGACTAAAGAAATGGACTAAAATGTTTGCTTATATCTTTATGTATGTCAAATGTGAGTACATGTGTATTTGTAAAGCACTTGATATGTATATATATACTACAATATACTACAACTATATTTTTTTAAGTGATTCCTTAGTCCATCAAATGGCAGAAAATAGTGAAAAAGTTGACAGTTTCCAAGAACACAAAGTTCTGTATTACAATTACATGAATCAAACATCATTATATAGGGAAAGCTGGAACAAGAAAATATAATACCTATTTTTCTAATTGAATGACTCGACGTAAAATGTATAGAGATTTTTTTTTCTGTTATTTCTTTTAGCTTTAAAGTGTTTAACCATCGGATTTCTCCGTGCGCGTTTTCTCTCCTTTTTCCCACTTCGCTCTCCTTACTAACAAAGGGGCGGGAACATAGAAAGGTCACGGAAGAGGTGCATGCTGGGAAACCACGTGTAGTGGAAGACCAGAGAGGTATGGCTACAGTTTTGTGATTATTGTTATTTTTAAATAATGTTTCAAACACATTTCGTTTACATATACATGCTCAGTGTTGTGTGCATTTGTCAGCTGCTGTCTGGTTTTCCCGCCGTTACTGTTCATATTCACTATGTCGGACATATTGTTTACATTGCGCCGGATTTCTGAAATTTAACCATGCATTTAACTCAGTTTTAACATTTCATTTTTAGATAGCAGAAGTCAAAACGGGTCTATATTTCTCACAGTGAAAATACTGGGTTTCTGTTGTTCATTACATGTTCACTTATTAGTTATCCAGTCACAGCTTCAGTAATACCTAATGACTGTTTTAACCGTTATAAGTGGTTTAAATACATTTACTTAAGTACTACTATTTAGTAATGAATGTGTTCTTTACTAGTGTTGCATCCATACTATTATATAGGATGCTGATGTTGGTCATTCTGCAAAACAAGTACTCTTACTTCAGTTTCTAAGATTTTCAACGACATAATTACTCTGTAGCTATGTTAGTTTGACAATAAAGAACCTTGAGTTATTTAAAGTATATTTGAAAGCAGGATTTCAGCTGTAACAAACCCCCTATTGTCTTCAAGTAATAGTTTATTTTGTTAAATGTAAAAGAGGGGTGTTTAAAACTCATATGACAAGCGAGAATACTTAATTATTTCCAAACCAAATTCTAAAAACAGTACAAAACATAGGTTTAAGAAACTTTGTCAGTTGTCCTGGAGTAACCTCAACAGTTAATTGATTGTCTCAATAATCTTCAGTACATTATCAGTCTGTAGAGGATAATCAATACTAGCTAGCTTGTGTTATAACAAGGTTTATAGAATCATACATACATATATTTTCAGTTCTTGAATCACTCTGGACTAGTTTTCACCATTACCTAAACCAAAATCAATACTTTTTTCCAATAACCTCTTCAGGATATGTGTAATAAAACACTAAATACACACAATCTCCTGTGATAAAGACGCTCATACACATGATATAAGAAAGAAGCTTAATGCTTGTTGTCCATGTGACTAATCCAACAATATGTCCTTTCTCTATTGGTCAGGTGACACGTACAGTTTGCCACCATGTCGTCCAATAAGAAGGGCGGCGATGAGCGTTTCCTCCGGGTTCAGAAGGACCCCAGGTTTTGGGAGAT